ACTCCTCTTCCATGGGAAGCAAAGGGAGAAATTGGCAAGCCTGGTGGGCTCACACCTATAATCCCAGCTATGTGAGAGGTGAAAGTAGGATTGCAATCTGAGGCCAGCCTGGGCAAATCTGAAAAATAATTAAAGCAGAAAAAGGCTGGAGGCATGACTCAAGTAATAGAATGCTTGCTCTGAGTTCAGAATCTGACAATTTAAATAAGTTCCCCAGGTTTCTTTTATACCTTCTCTTTGCTATTTAATTCACTAGTCCAGGGCACTGAGCTTCATGTAGTAAGGAGGCCTATAGGACAGTAAGGGGAAAAAAGAAGCAGCAGTCAGACAATTCTGCAGCCAGGGGTCAGAGGCTTACCAGAATCGGAGCCAAGCTTTACTGTCCTGGAGACGCTCAGGAGAAAGCTGGGCATTTGCAGGGGAGAAGGGTGTCCTCTGGAGGCCTCTGGTCCTGTTTGTTCCTGTGCTCTTAGAGGTCTTGGAGCCATATGACAGCTCAACTGGCAAAAATCCACAGTCAGCTAGTGAGTCTCCAGATAAAGGCAAAGATCATGTCTTCAACTAGCCTTCCACTCTCTGTGTCTGCCTTCTCAAGTCCTTCCTCCACTCTGCCAGCAGAGTTAGCCTTAAACATGTATCTCATCACCTGTGAAGAAAGTTAAAAACTCTCTGGCAAGTTGTCAAGGCCTGCCACAGTTAGGAACCTGCCATTTCTGCTTCCAGGCACTACCCGGTCCCCACCTCCAAGGCTGTAGCCACAGCAGGTCACTGCTGGCTGCCTTGAGAGAATAGCATCTATGTCCATGCCCCTGTGCCTTTGACCCTGTTAGTCTCTCTCTGTATGGTGTCATTTCTTCTCCATTGTCTAACCATGAACCTCTTATTGAGCCTTCTAGGCCTAGATTCAGTGGTAACTCTTCCTCTGTGTCCATCCCTCATTTTCTGCCATCATCCTTGCAGAGTCGGTGTCTCTTGGCTAGATTCCAAAGACATTTCAGACATATCTCTGATATGTCATATTACACTACAGATAACTTAGTTTTATTCCCGTCTTTCCTCCTAAGCCAGGAATTCTCTGCAGATAGAAGCTGCCTTTTTCATATTTGTACCCCTAACACCTACCTTAGTACCTAGTCTAAACAAGAGTTTAATACACTTTTGTTGAATTGAATTAGCTTTTGAGACCCATTCAGAATTAGAGACCAATGGTTATTTAATAAATGAAAAAAGACTATAATAACAGTAATAACAAAATCTCATTTCTACTGCTTATTCAAGTAACTGTTTCCTTTGTGGAAGTGGATTTTGAAAATCTTCACATGTAATACATATTTTTGATGTGTTATTTGAGATCCTGGAAGAATGATTCTACTAATGCAGACTGGAGTTTCTAAGACATCCCCACTGATGTTATATTGAATATGTTCTGCCATTTCAGAGATATATGTGATAAGTCCTATGAACATGCATTTTACTGTTTTCCCTCTCCGTCCCCTGCCACTTTTTCATGGGTCTGGGGTTTAAACTCTGGGTTCTGTACTTACAAAGCAGTCACTCTACTGCTTGAGCCACATCTCCAGTCTTTTCTTTTTCTCTTTCATGACAATATTTTGTAAATTATGTAATTCAGACTAAGCATTTTCTATCTATAAAAACAGAATTGCAAAGTTAAGGTTCTAGTATTTATACTATTACATTTTTGCCTGGGGCCAGCCTCTGACTGTGATCCTCCTTAATAGTTGGGATTACTGGTGGGTATAACCACACTCAGCTTATTTGTTGAGAATGGCATCTTGCTAACTTTTTGCCTGGGCAGGCCTCGAACCACTATCCTCATGATCTCTTCCTCCCAAGTAGATGGACTTGCAGGTGTGTACCATGATGCCTAGCCCTGTCTTTGAAAAAAAATATGTGTGTGTGTGTGAGAAATAGGAATCTAGGTTATCTCTAATAATTAATGGCATGAGGTAACTCTTGAGAACAGTGAGGATCTGGATAATTAATAAGGAAACTGGAGAAGAGCTGACAAAGACAAGTAAAGGGATGTGTGATCATTGGAAAGCAGTAAGAGAATAGACCAGCACTTGGATGGTGTGAAACCAGGGTGGAGGCATGTCAGGCCGCACAGTAGTGTAATTTTATCTGACTGTGCTCTGTGCAGTGTGTAGGTGCAACAGAGCCACATTGTGTTCAGGGCTCCTGGGACATCTAAAACAAGAAGTATAAGAATCCTTCCGAGAAAGTGTAGCTTAATGTAGAAGAAATATGGTTAAGAAGTTGGTAATCTTGGAGATGGTGAGAAAGCCAAGAAACTGGAGATGAGAATAAGGCCTCATCTTTGTAGACACTCAGCAAATCTTCCTTTTCTCCTTGTTGACTCTCCTTTCCTTGTGCCTGTTTCACCACCACCACCTGCCTCTACCATGGTTTGTGCATATGAACAGTTTGAAATCATGATGGTAGCAGTTGGTATGGAGGAAAGATCAGGATCCAGGTTCCAAAGTCCTCACCCAGTGTGTTCCAGACACTTGAATGATGGTGGTGCTTGGTGGTGTTGACCTTGAGAAACGCAAGGCTTACTTGCTTGAGGGATAAGCCGTGGATCTCAGGACAGGGATTTACTCTGTGATAAGAAGGGTTGTGACATCAAGGATTTCCTGTAAGTTCCCTTCTCCCTACAGGCTTAACCATAAGCACGGAGCTCATTGCTTTCAAGGATTTTAAAGGGAGTCTTTTCTTGACATGAAGATACATGTAAGGGTGGACACAGTGGCTCACACCCACAGTTATTCTTGAGGTGGAGTTTGGGAAGATCATATTTCAAGACCAGCCCAGGCAAAAAGTGGTCAAGACCCCATCTCAACAAAAAAGCTGTTTGTGGTGGTTCTTGCCTGTCATCCCAGCTACTTGGGAGGTATAGGTGAGAAGATGGCTGTCCAGGCTAACCTGGGCAAAAAACATGAGACTCTACCTTAAAAATAACTGAATCAAAAAGAATTGGGGGTGGGTCAAGTGGTAGAGTATCTACCTTGCAATCACAAATCCTTGAGTTCAAACCCCAGTACTAAAAGAACAATAACAACAACAACAAAAACAAAAAAGACTTAAGAACCATAGTGGCAACCCAAAGGGTATTCTTCGTCTGAATCTGAAGTTCTAGCATAGTTGATTATATCTCGTGACTTACTCTTTACTTGAGCTGTCAAATGTATTGTCATACTTTTTCTTAATGATACTGTTTTTAAGGCTTTCATTTCAAATAAGGACAAAGTGTTTTTTATGGAAACATTCTGTGTGTCTCCAGAGACTTTTTTTCATCCATAGTTATCAGTGTAACACTAAAACCTAATGATCCAGTCTTTCAGAGTACTTTATTCAGTATAGTGTAAAGAGAAGCTTACCAGTAAGCAGCCATGTGCCTTAACTGTGAAACTGCTATGTAGGTGTGGGTCCCTACAGAGGAGTAAACAGAAGCTGCAGGTCATCTTAAGAATGCTGTAAATATCCAGGCAGAGTTTGCTAGAGAAGCCCGGAGAGTCTATGTCATCAGTCTTGCTGTGTTGGATTGTTAACAGCACCTTTAAGGCATTTAGCATTGTTTGTCTAGAAAATAAGTGAATGCTACTTTTGAAATTTCATTGTCATCTGAGTTGCTCTAAAGAAGCACACATGTGCCTCAGTTGACATAAGTCACATGAAATAAGACATTCATCTTTTTCCACAAAGTCTGTGACATCTACCTGGACCCTGTGGATTCCTCTGTATCCATTCAACTCAGACATGCTTGCCTGTTTTTCAAGTGCTTGTATTGGCAGGTAGACTTGTTATCCTATGACTAAGATAGAATTTCCATAGCCTACTGTATCATAATAGATTTGTTTTCAGTTAAATTTGCCCTAAAACAGACTTTCCCCCTGATGTTAAAGGATACTGAAAGCAAGTAGTATTTTCTAATTAGATACTTAGAGGAAAGAGACCTTTTTAGAGTTAAAGGTGTTTGTTCTGGTTTGGGCATGGTAGTTCATACCTCTAATCCCAGCTACTCAGGAGGTGATTAGGAAGATTATGATCCTCCCTTTTTTCCAGCCCTGAAAAACCCCATCTCAATCAAGAAGCCAAGGGCTGGAGGTATGGCTCAAGCAGTAGAGCACCTGCTCTGCAAGCACAAAGCCCTGAGTTCAAACCCCAGTCCCCCCAAACACAACAACCACAAAAAGAAGCCAGGTGTGGTACTGCATACATACACATCTGTGATTCCAACTTCATGAGAGGCTGTAGGTAGGAGGATTTCTGTCTGAGACTGGCCTCAGGGGAAAACTTAAGACCCTGCCTGATCACGTTTAGAAGATACCTCAGATTATAATCATTGCTGTGTATGCAATTTTATTTACCAGTGCTGTGTGCGTAACAGACAAGCTCATATAAGAAATATCTAGTCCTAGATATTTAGAATTGCTTGATGTATTTAAAAGTAGTAATATATGTAAATAGCTTTTGAAAACTTGGGAGATACTGTGTTTGGAAATGGAGTTGTAAAACCACCTCTGAACAATGAAAAAAAAAAAAAAAGACCCTGCCTGAAATATAACTGAAGTAAAAAAGGCTGGAGCTTTGCTCCAGCAGAAGTGTGCCTGTCTAGTAAGTGCAAGGTTATAACTTCAAACTCCAGTATCATCATCTTAAAAAAAAAAAAAAAAAGTATTTGGTGCAAAGCCCTGACTGAGTTCAAGCCCTAGTCTCACAGAGAGAGAGAGAGAGAGAGAAAGGTTTGTTTAAATATTCTTTTCTAAAATCTGTAGCTGGCAGCTTTTTTTCCTTCAAACGTTAGTACTCTGGATTTTCTGTTTTTTTTTTTTTAAGCAGTTCATTTGTTCACAGAATGTGGATATTAATATATGTAAATAGCATCATTGCATTTTTCCTAAAGTGCATATGAAGAAGAAAGAAAGCTTTCTTTGGATGTCTTGTGTGGATTTAGTTAGCTCTCTTTTCCTTTTCAGGTTGTAAGCATGTTAAAGGCATCCTGTTATACGGGCCCCCAGGCTGTGGTAAGACTCTCTTGGCTCGACAGATTGGCAAGATGTTGAATGCGAGAGAGCCCAAAGTGGTCAATGGGCCAGAGATACTTAACAAATATGTTGGAGAGTCAGAGGCTAACATCCGAAAACTTTTTGCTGATGCTGAAGAGGAGCAAAGGAGGGTAATGTGAAAAAAAGGACAACTTAGTAAAAATTTGTGATCACTTACATGATGAATGAAACAGAGATATGGAGGCAGACTTATTGTGATCTATATTTTGAAAACAAAACTTGCAGTTAAAATTTCCTTGGTGTCTAGTTATGTATGATGCTGCTGCAGAGATTATGTAGAATTTTTCCGATGTGTGATGTCATTACCCACATGTCATAATACAGAGGGAGATGATTATACAAACTATAGTTTTTGCAAAAACAGATCATGAATGTATTTTCAAGAGGCACTTTTATACCATTTTGCTCCAAAAACTTTAACTCATTTATTGTTTGGAAAGGGAGGAAATTAAATCCATGAATAGATTTACAGAATTTTACACACACATGCACATACACACACACATGCACGTAAGGTGGTCTGAATGAAGAAAGCTAGCTTACTTACACTAACTCAGCTCAGTTGTAGAATGGCAGGATTGAGTTGTCAGAGCTCAAAGGAATGTTCCATTTGGGTCTTAGAAAAAAATAATTAAAAAATCAGACCACTGTGTACAATAATGGTTAGTTTTATGTGTCACCTTGACTGTGCTACAGGGTACCCACATATTTGGTCAGCCATTCTGGGTGTATCTGTGAGCATGTTTCTGGATGAAACTAACTTCTGAAGTAGGAGGCTGAGTAAACAGATTGATGCCCCCTCATGTGGGCAGGCCTCATCCAATCACTTGTTTCTCAACATAAATAATGGAAACAAGTCCATTGAATCCCCATTTTAAGGGCCTGAAAGAAAATAACTTGGTATTTAAAAAAATTTTTGAGGTGTTATGTTTCTGAGTCAGGTTTATATGTGTTCATAAATCTATTACTCATTTTAATACTTGTATGATATTCCATTTCCTACTGAGGAATAGTCACAATCTTTCTCCTCTGTTGATTTTTTTTTTTTTTTTGCTACATTCTGGCCAAGAATATTGTTATAATGCTATTTATTTAACTGTTGCATTGTTCTTCTAAGTTAATTTTATCATTCTTCTATTTTCTTATTATTTTAATCATCTTTAAACACAGTTGAGAAAAATTGGTAATAACATAATTTCAAGGATTGACATAGCATAAATATCTTAAATTTATAAGAAGATCCAGTGGACTCATATGGTTACTGGAGATAAATTGAGTTTCACTCTGTTTTCTAAAATATATTTTTCCTTTTGTTCTTTGGAAGACTTATTTTCTAAAAAGTCACGAGATACCACTCTAAAACTAGTTTATACTGCTCAAAAAAAAGCTAAAAAACTTACATTGAGTCTAATGTACCTTGATGATTATACACTAGGCATGGGTGAGTTAAAATACCATATAGAGAAGCATTTCATAAAGTCTCAGTTGTAATGGTTTCCACATGGCTGCCTGGGTACCTTTGGTACTGTTTTAAACTGGCAGACAGTTTAAATATGACACACTACTAATGATGACATTGAGAGAATTTCTAGGTAGATATTAATCTTAGCCAACCTTTTCAGCTATACCTTTCTCAATCTTTACATCCAGAAATGGCTTAGTATTTCAGGCTAATGATCCCATGGAGAGTAAATGTGTGTTACATAATAAAGAAAAACATCCCCTCTGTGATCTGGACAGTTTAGGCTGACAGAGATGAACACTTCCATATAGGTCAAACTAGTTAAATATAGAAGAGCCACTTTCAAAGGCTGTTTCCAGGAGCTCAACAGCATCAGCTCTGTTTCTGTGAGGAAAGACTGCAGATGGTGACAACAAAGCTGGGAGCCAATGAATTGAAGAGGGTTGCATTGTGGAAATTTAAATCCTTTGGTAAACGGTTTATTGATGATCTGGCTACATTAATCTGTAAACATCAATCTTGACATCCTTTCTTACCTGATTCCTCATTTATTGCAATAAGAATTTGCCTTTATTTAACTAACACCTGTAAAAATCGATGTTATTGTACTAACTAGGTGGGGGAAGGGAACTGATGACAGCGCACAAGATTAGTATGGTTCAGAAAAGGTCAGAATTGTACTGAAGTATGTTTAGGACAGATTGTCCCTGTGATCATTTAATCAAGCACAGTGCTCTTATTGTCTCTGGCATCCTTGTCCACATAGGTAATTTCTGAGGTTGGACTGAGAAGGAAGTTGTGATTCCAGCAATGACATAGGACACACTGACAGCAAAAATCATACTTTATGGCAACTTTTTGTTTCTTTCTGTATCAGACAGACAACCTTGAATAAAAATAATGTGAAATCCCACAATTTCTCAGACACAATTATACTCTTTTACCTAGAAGTGCTTTGGCAAAACTAAGCATGTAGTTCCAATTTCTCATTCCCAGTCTTCTCTACAGATGGACGGTTGGTTTTTTGTTTGTTTTTTAAGAAGCAAGCTATCATTTATCATTAGATATCTCTTCAGTAAACATAGTGATATTGAGAAATGAAATTGACTTTTTCAGACTTTAATTTTTAAAATATTTGTGGAAGGAGAACAATTTGTAAGTAATGTTCAGAAAAAAATAAAATCTAGTTAAATTTTAGAAACTTTGATAGACATATGACTATCATCTCACTCAGAATTGCATTGAAGAATGAATAGCACCCTAGTTATGAACAATAGAATGTGTTACAATGTATTTTATCTGTTTATATGTTGTTATTATTATGCAGTGAAACTGACTGATTTCTCTTCTGGTGTTTAGTTTTATGAATTTTGACGTATGTATAAATTTATGGAATCATCACAGTCAGGATGCAATGTTAGTATTTCTTAATCTAATTTAGAGATTTAATCTAATTTTAATCAAAGCTTGAATTTCTTTGTTTCTAATTGGTAGAGGTTGTTTTTTTTTCTGATAGAATGATTCTGATGTTCACTTAGCAGTAGATGTGGTTGAAAATAGTTTCAAGATAGTTATAAAAAGGAAGAATAATGCGTGGTGGGGGAAGAGATTGCTTAACCTACTGCTATAAAGTTACAGAGATAACCCAAGGAACAGTATCGATGGGCTGGTGGGAATCTAATATACATAAAAATCCAAAGTCTGGTAGAGATGGCATTTTAATCAATAAAGAAGGAAGGATTAGATAGTCAACAGAGCTGGTCAGTTAAATATTTGAAGAAGAATTAGTTGAATTCTTACCTTACTTGTATAATACACAAAAACATCAAATAAAGAATTATATGTAATGAAAAAATATTAAAGAGAAGAAAATGTAGAGGGACCATCAGTGTCTATAATGGGGAAGGATTTTAAGGATAAAAGTAACAGAAAACATTGGAGGGGGGGTGGCACGCATAGATCAAATGATAGAGTGCTTGCCTAGGAAGCTTGAGGCCCTGAGTCAAAAAACTCCAGTACTACCAAAAAAGAAAACAAGTAAAAAGGTAACATTGTAAAAGCAAAAACTAATAATAGTGGCTGTTTAAATAGTAAAACCCAATAAAACATACCTTCTACTTATCAAAAATATGCTGTAAATTATATTAAGACAAATGGCATACCAGGATAAAATATTCACCAAAAATATTTTCTTAATAAAGAAAGCAATTTTGTAAGTCAATAATAAAAACCTTTAAATTCCAACAGGAAAATATATAGAAAACATGTCAAATAATAAGAGAAAATTAGTAATGCTTTAAAAATAAAATTTACAAAACATGCCAGTCTCTTCAGTAATTAGACAGATGTGATTTAAGAACAGAAAGATCAGTCCCTAGCACTGCAAAAAGTAAACTGAACCAAACTAAACACAGATGCTATTGTTCATTTATCAAATTGAGAATTACTTGTTAAATGTTTTGAATATTCATTACTTGTAAGGAGATAACAAAATAGGCACCATCCTGTATTGTGTTGAGGTTATAAATTGACAAAAGCCCTTCTGGAAAAGTCTTTAACATCCTATTTCAAGGCCCTTAACCTGTTCAGCACACCTTTTAACCTACTAGTCACCTTCAAGTAGTAATCATATATACTGTCAAGATTTTAAGTATAGAAATGTTCATCATAGTAACTTATATAATAGTAAAAACTACAAGAAATAAAGATCTAACAGAAAGGAATTACTGTGGAGTAGGGGAGTTAAAGGATAAAAGCAGTCACAATAAATACTCATTATGTAGTTATAGGAAATGAGTTAAGATAATAACTGGACTGTAAAAAGGAGGATACAAAGTATTACATAACATTTTAACAATTAGGTTTTTTGATCTTTTTTTTTTTTACAATTAGGTGATTTTGATCTTTTTTTTTTTGAACCCAGGACATCCAGCTTACCAGGCAAGGGCTCTTCCCCACCTTGCCTCTACTGGCTTCAAACTTTGATCCTCCTGCCTCCACCTCCCGAGTACCTGGGTTTTTAGGTGTTTGCCACCATGCCCGGCTTGATTATGATCTCTTTATTTTTTTTAATATTTTTCCAAATTCTCTGTGTTTTCTGATGTATTTTGCAATTTGCAATGAGAAACAGAAAAAAAACTATTTGAAATTTTTCTCAAAGAGCAGTTAATGTTCAAGAGAATACAAAGCACAGTGAGTGCCCAGTTTTTAATTAAAATAAATTTAAAATATAGAAATAAATCTGTAGGATGTTAATAGAATTTATCTTTAGGTGATATAAATTTAAAAACTTTATTTCTATTTTTTTTTTTTTACAACTTTTGCTCAGGTAACATCTACTTTTATAATAAAGTAAAAAATTTTTAAGCTTCTTATTAAAAAAAAGAAAAGATTGTTTAACAGATTTAATGAAATTGAACCATCCCCAATCCTCAATCACACTGTGTTCATCATTTAATTTGTATTATTCATATATTTTCATATTTAGGTTATGTTTATTCTTACTGCTTTGTTAATCCCTAATGTTTTTGTGTCAACAACAACAACAAAAAAGATAGAGCTGGGCATGGTGGTGTATATATATCATCCTAGCTCCTCAGGAGGCAGCAGTAAAAGGCTCACAGTTTGAGGTAGGCCCCTGCAGGAGCATGAAACCTTTTCTGCTAAACAAACTAAAGGCGGAAGTACTGGGAGCTCAAATGATAAAGCATTTGCCTAGCAAGCATGAGGCCTGAGTTCATTCCCCAGTATTGCCAAAAAAAAAAAAAAAGGAAAGATAGTTAACAACAATTAATCAATTAATCATATATTTTAAAGTAGCTATTAGAGAAAATTTTGGATGTTCTTCAAATGAGTAAATGGTAAGTGTGAGGTGATAGATATGCCAGATACCCTGATCTGATCATTACACATTGAAACATGTATTGAAATATCCACTGTATCCCCATAAATATTTACAGTTATTATGTGTCAATTAAAATTTTTAAGAAAAAAACTTCTAGTGTTCTTCCTTCCCCCTTTGACCCTTCACTGCAGGCTTAATTGCTTGAAAATGAATTGTTAGAAGGCCCACGTTAATTTAACTTAATGAATTATAAACATTCAAAAGTATTTGCATGTATTAAAGTTTCAAAATATATAAACTAATCTTTTAATGGTGACTTTTTAAATTATTGTGCTGGGTGGGGGTACATTGGAGTATTTACAAAGGTTCTTATAATGTATCAAATATATCATACTTGAATTCATCTGACTGTTTCAATACTAAAATCACTATGCAGAAGAAATAGCATGCCCTTTCCATGTTCTTTTTATAAACTATGCCTCTGTTCTCACTTTATTCTTAGAAATCATCTGTTTTCATGTGTTATTAGTGAACTGAGTCGTATTTAGTTCCTTTACCCATTTGCCCCATTTGCAGCCACCATCTGGGTGTAAGTAATCTTTAGCTATAAGGTAAACATTAAGCCTGCTGCTTCTGGGACTATCTTTTTACCAAAACTCAAGGGAAAATGGAAGGAAGTTGCCTCTTGCTGACTTAATAGATCTGATAAATATGAGTTCTTTCAAGTAGTGAGATAAGATGTGTATAAATTTATATTCACTTATTATTCACTTTCTACATATATACCAGTATGTAATGTATATTTTTGTTTTTTTACTTTAAATATGAGGTCCTAGGCTGTGTTTTCAGTTTGCAGAATTCTGAGAATGCTATTCCAACACCTTTGAGAGGGAAACAACCATGATTAAATTGCACTTGCTGTGTTTATTAGTCAAAGTGGAGTGAAGTCAACCTGTTGAAAGATTTTTTTTGCTTTTTTAGTTTGTTTAATAACTAATTGAAATTATGACCTTTAAAAATAATTTCTTCTCTTAATAGCTTGGTGCTAACAGTGGTTTGCACATCATCATCTTTGATGAAATTGATGCCATCTGCAAGCAGAGAGGGAGCATGGCTGGTAGCACAGGAGTTCATGACACTGTTGTCAACCAGTTGCTGTCCAAAATTGATGGCGTAGAGCAGCTGAACAACATCCTCGTCATTGGTGTGTACTTTTGTTTTAAAAAGTCTTGTTCTTACGAAATGTTATCATTCGCTGGTAAATGGATGGAATTGGAGAACATCATTCTGAGTGAGGTTAGCCTGGCCCAAAAGACCAAAAATCGTATGTTCTCCCTCATATGTGGACATTAGATCAAGGGCAAACACAACAAGGGGATTGGACTTTGAGCACATGATAAAAGCGAGAGCACACAAGGAAGGGGTGAGGATAGGTAAGACACCTAAAAAACTAGCTAGCATTTGTTGCCCTTAACGCAGAGAAACTAAAGCAGATACCTTAAAGCAACTGAGGCCAATAGGAAAAGGGGAACAGGTACTAGAGAAAAGGTTAGATCAAAAAGAATTAACCTAGAAGGTAACACCCACGCACAGGAAATCAATGTGAGTCAACTCCCTGTATAGCTATCCTTATCTCAACCAGCAAAAACCCTTGTTCCTTCCTATTATAGCTTATACTCTCTCTACAACAAAATTAGAGTTAAGGGCAAAATAGTTTCTGCTGGGTATTGGCGGGGAGAGAGGGAGGGGGCGGAGTGGGTGGTAAGGGAGGGGGTGGGGGCAGGGGGGAGAAATGAACCAAGCCTTGTATGCACATATGAATAATAAAAGAAAAATGAAAAAATAAAAATAAATAAATAAATAAAAAGTCTTGTTCTTAAAAGACATTGGACACATGAAGGCATCTAATGTTTTGCTGATGTCTCCAAATTAGAATCAAGTAAAATTGAAGAATGACTGTGTTAATGCCTATGTTTAATAAGGAAAATAAAAGGTTGGTTTCAGCTACTTGTGGGTTTAAGCTTATAGTTCACCACTGGTGAAAAAGGCAGCATATTACGATGCAGTGGGTTTTAGCTGCTTTATAGTAGACCTCCCAACACCTTTAGAAGGGCTCCAGAGAGGGAGCTTTAGATCTCAAGTTGGTAGGTATATCATCCTCCTTAACTCTTTCATGTACTGAGCTTCTGCTTAAGGGGAGTTTTGGGGTGGGGGAGCCTACTGTTTTATGAAAGTTGAAACCACTGGCCTACAAAAAAAGAAGGGACTTTGGATTTGAGAGAGATCGATTTCACATTGCCCCTCTCCCTTTGACAGGTTACTTGCTGTCTCTGAACCTTAAATTTTCTTTTTAAACATTGAAAGTTTTCATTACAGAGTCTCCTGGTATTTTCATTAGAACTGATCAGGAACAAATGCTGGTTTTGTTTTAGAATAATTTGGTTTTCTATTTGATTTTATAAAAATGTCCTCTTAGCTCATTAGGGAAATTACTATTTTTACATATACAGAAGGGACATTTTATATTATTTTTGAAGTCTGATCATTTGTTTGTTGTTTTGGTTAACACCTATATTCAGGAATGACAAACAGACCAGATCTGATAGATGAGGCTCTCCTTCGACCTGGAAGACTGGAAGTTAAAATGGAGATCGGTAAGCTGATGTGTGTTTGTGTCTGTATGCATACTATTTTGTGTGGCATCTAGAGTTTATAACAGGAATAGTGTCATATAATTTAATGTTTACTAGAAGATGTTTACATGTTTGAGTACCTACAAGAAAAACATTAGGATTATAATAATCTCCTCTGGTGGGCTCTTGAGACTAGGAAAATGTTTTTTTTATTTTTAATTTTATCAGGCTTGCCAGATGAGAAAGGTCGATTACAGATCCTTCACATCCATACGGCAAGGATGAGAGGGCATCAGTTACTCTCTGCAGATGTGGACATTAAAGAACTGGCTGTGGAAACCAAGAATTTCAGTGGTGCCGAACTGGAGGGTCTGGTGCGAGCTGCACAGTCCACTGCTATGAACAGACATATAAAAGTAAGAAAATCAGCTAATTAGGCACTTGCAGCCCTCTAAATCCATGCTGCCCTTGTTTCTCTTTCCTTTCTAGCACTCCAAAGCTATGGGAACACTGACTTTTAGTGGAGAAGAAAGATAGACTAAGAATGAGTTGTCCACTGCTCAATCTTCTGAGTAGCGGGAAGGACAATGGTAACATCTGCCAGAGGATGACCACTGAATCAACTGCCTTGGGTTACTACCATCTGACACAGATATGTGAAGTGAAGACTTTAAAGAAATTATTTTCAGTCTTTGTATTAAGTTGTAATAAGTCATAGGAAGCTGGGTATTCTCTACTAGAATTTTGGGGGCTGCTTCATGTAGCAAATACACTGACCACTTGCTACTTTTGAGGTATTCGGCTGGAGATGCAAGGGTGATAAATCTTCTCTCAAGGGCTTCAGAGTCAGGGAATGCTTGCAAATTAGTACAATAATTGTTTAGATGCTGTGGTAGAAATATGCACTGGGATGCTTTTATTTTGATAAATAAAGTGCTTTTGAGGCGTCTTTCTCTTCTCCAGGTTTTAGTTATTACCTGTAAATAAATGACTCCCAGATTTATATCATCCCCTGAAAGTATGTCTCCCACTTTTCAGATTTATAATAAATATCCCTACCTGGATGTTTTCGCTGGTTTCACATTTAATATTCTAAAACCAAATCCACTGTCTTTTTTTACTACTTGTAGCTCCTGTTTCCATATTTATCCCACTTTCTCATCCTTTAAACTTGAGGATTTTCTCTGACTCCTATCACTCTACGTCTTACACCAGGTCATTTGCCAGTCTTGTCAGGTCAGTCTTGGAGCAGTGTCTCAGCTTTCATTGCCACCATCCACCTTCTCTTTGACTGACCTTGCCAGTTCAGATAATTCTGCCTTCATGACTGCCTGTTGTCTGCAGTGCAAAGTACAGACTTCTTAGCCTGATTTTTAAGGTCTCCTGGATCTGACTGTACCTGGCATTTGCAAGTATGTCCCCAACTATTCTTCATACACTTCATCCAAACTGAAATGCTCACCAATTATCAGATGTTAATTAATTTTCCAGTCTCTCTGCTTTTGCTTTTTTTTTTTTTGCTTTGTTGAAATTCTACACTCTTTGTTTACCTGTCTTTTCATTACCTGGATCATATTCTACCCTTTACTCAAACCTTTTCTGACTCTCCCTTTCAAGAATAATATATTGTATTTATTGAATTAACAATATATCATTTATTGATTCCTCTAGTTGACCTTGACTCAAACTAGGTTTATTTGAACCTACTATGTGCCATACACTGTACAAGGAGTTAATGCTACAACTGTGAAGAAGTAAATCCCCTACTATTGAGCAGCTCACAATCTAATCCTCCACGTGCAGGAATAGAAAGTGTGTGCAAAGTAAGGCATTGAAGAGGTATAAGGTGTGGTCAACTTGTGGGGTGAGAGAAACCTTCTGAGAGGAAACTTATGGGTAAATATGAGTAGTTCTTGGTGGGTAGAAGGAACAACATATGCAAAGGAAGAGGGACATAAATAGCATGATGTGTTAGATTAATTTACTATTGCTCAGCATGGAAGTTAGTGGGGGGTGCTAGAGGAGAGACATTGTTGGGGTAATTCAGGAGACTAAATGGGGATAGAGCACAAAGACCCTTTTATACTCTGCTAAGAGTTCTGTAAGTAGTGCTAAGCCATTGAAGAGTTTTAAGAATAGCAGTGACATAGTGTTAAAATATAACATCCCTCTGACAGCTGTGTCAGTGGAATATTTAGGATAGTGGAGTTAGTGACACAAGACTAGAGAGGGGAACTTTTATAACAGATCAGGCAGGAGATAACAAAAGGCAGAAGAGTTAACACTTGAGTACATTGTGTAATTTGGATGCATCCTCTCATTGGTTGTAGACCAGGTGTCAGCAAACTATGGCCCAAATCTAATCAACCACCAATTTTTATGAATTAAGTTTTAAAACACAACCATGCCTATGTATGCTATAATGGCAGAGCTGAGTATTTGTAACAGAAACTACATAGCCTGCAAAACCTAAAACATTTACTATCTGGTCCTTTATAAAAAAAGGCTTACTGATTCCTTAATCTAGCCTTTAAATCCATGATCTTTTGCTTCTGTGAATTTCCCACAGTGCCACAAATAGATCTAAAAACTGTATATATTAAAAATATATACTTTTAATATATATTCCCTACATAGTACAAGTGATTGTTTCTAAAGATTTAGAATAATATGGGAATGTAGTATCTTCTTATCCTTGAGAGAATGGATCCAGTCATTAATGCGTGGCTGTTTTCATTTTTCTACCTTGTCATAAGAAATGTCTTAGTAAGAAGTGCTAGTGAGGCTGGCAGAGTAGCTCACAAGTGGTAGAGGACCTGCCTAGCAGTCATGAAGCCCTGAGTTCAAACCCAGTAACTGCAAAAAAGAAAAAAAAAAGTGACTACAAGAAAAATTAGGTAAATGACATAAAAAATTGTTACTTTATCTCAGACCATTAGTGTATCTAGCTATAATCCACAATAACTATTTACTAGTTACCTGGTTTCCAAATGCATCAGCCACAAGTTATTCCTCTGATTAGTACTTTGTTGTTGTTGTTGTTTTTACCACAATAATCTGATCCAAAAATTTCACTCTAAGCCATTGTCTCACTAAGAAACATGATTTCTCCAATAAGATGTTGAGCTTATCCACATGTGAGCAATAGGAGTGGTAGGGAGCACAAGATTCATGACCAGATAGTGTGTTATACATTGGAGGTTCTGGCATATCATAGAATAATACCTATCTCACCATGCTTCTGTGGCAATGAAATGAAATACTGTACATGGAAGGGCCTTATAAAATATATAAATGCTAGTTATACCCATTTTTGTTACTGGCTGTGAATATATCATCCTTCTTAATATCTTGAGTTTCTGATTCTTTGTCTATTTCCAGTTACAGTTTTTCTCATTGTAAGAGTAAAATGTTTGTTACTAGTATCTAAAATATATTAGTCTTCAGATTTGCAAGTAAGAAGTTGTGGGAATAGTTGCCATTATTTCCTTTCCTTTTCTCGTGTGGTTGAATTCTCTTGTTTCAGGTGATACACACTGATTTGTGAGCCATACCTTTTGTCCCATATAAAACAGCCATTAGTTTTTCACAGTATCTATGGAATAGTTAATGTCAGGCAGTAGGTAGGCACTTTACGTTTTAAAAAAATCAAATTGTCAAAAGATCTCTGAACATTTTTTTTCCCAAGACTCCTCCTCAGCTGAACAAAAAATACAGTTTTAAATTTCCTTTGACTGCAGATGTTCATAGCTCTACTAGTAGTGATTAATGAATAAATACTTAATTTGAAACTTATGGCTTAAAGTTGGCTAGCATTAGGGCTGGAGGTGTAACTCGGTGATAGAGTTGTTACAACATTCAATAGTTTGTTATGATATTCTTTCTTCATAGTATAAAATGCTTTATAAGTTTTAATTTTTCTCCCTTTTCAAAAGTCTCAGGCCTAAACAAAGACTCAGTCAAGTAAACTAAACAAATCTTCCCCCATTAAACAGTTTTTTCAGATTTCTGAAACAACTGAAAGATCAGTCATAAACTACCTGGTACTCATGTCATTTGTACTTGAAAACCATGGTTTTGGTCAACTAAAATTCATGTGACATTTAGTTGGTTTTCTCTTGAAAGGGATTTCTGCTTCAGGTAAAGAAGATTCATAACTCAAATTTCTTCTCTAATCTGTTGAAAGGAATAAATTGACATATACATACACAATACTTTACAACTGAATCAGAGCTCTGAGTTGCGTTTGCAAAATTTCAATGAAATTATTTCTTACTTTCTGTAGACTTTTTGATTAAGATCATTCTACCTTTAATTTAAGAGGAATGATAAGAACTTTGAAAGGTCAGATTTAAAAGGTTATGAAATTTAAGGGGGACCACTTGATATTTGCTAGTGTTGAAATACAAGTTTATGAGTTTCAGCAGGTATAAGCTGAAAGATGCTGCCTCTTCTGCGTTGATTACTTGTATAAATAAAATGCAGAAAATATCTTACTACAAACAAATGAGCAAAAATTTACAATTGCTAATTTTTAAAAATTTTGATAAAATAGTAAATACTGGCTAAGAGAAACCCTTAGAAAATTTATTTTAATGAACAAAATAAATTACTACTGGAATATTGATTATTTGTAGTTAGATAAATTCTAAAATTCCTGGAGTGCCTGAAAACAACTCATTCTAAAGTAACTCTTCCCCCAACCATCTTAATTTTACAGTTGACACAAAACAATTACATGTATTTATAAGCTTCAGGTGATAGAATGATCAGATTAGGGAAACTGGTATACTCATCACCTCAGATATTTAACATTATTCTTTCTTTTCTTTCCTCTCCTTCCCTCCCTCCCCCTCCCCTTTTCCCCTCCCCTTCCCTCCTCCCCTTTTCCCCTTCCCTTCTCCTCCACCACTTCTCTTCCTCTCTCCCCCCTTCCCTTCCTCTCTTCCCTCCCTCCCCTCTCCCCTCCCTCCCCCTTCCCCTTCCTCCCTCCCCCTTCCCTTCCTTTTGTTTTCCTCCCACCCTTCTTTCCTTCCTTCCTTTTCTTCTTTTAATGAGGCAGTGTCTCACTGTGCAGCCCAGTCTGGCCTTGAACTTGCATTCCTCCTGCCTCAGCCTCCCAAGTGCCAGGATTACATGTGTGCTTCACCATGCCTGACTGGAAAACACTAGTCTGTTTTCTATTTCTATGAAATCAACTTTTCTAGCTTCCACACATAAGTGAGATCATGCAGCATTTGTATACCTATGCCTAACATTCCACTTTGAATTCATTGGCTGGATTTTTTTTTTTAATAATAAAGACAAGTTTCACACTACCTTCCATCCAAAATCTATCATAATTTTTGCCAAATGTTTTATGGGCAAAATTTTTTCTTTCACATTGCTCTGTATGTTTCTGTCATTTGAATTCAGCTTTACTGTAAGAGCAAATGAATACAGAATATCATAGTAAAAACTTAAAGACTAGCTGGCATAGTGGTACATGCTTGTAGTCACAGCACTCAGGAGGCAGAGACAGGAAGGTTGCCAGTTCAAGGCCAGCCTGGGCTACACAAGTAGATCCTGCTTAAAAAGAGCATCATGAGGGCTTGAGATACAGGTCAGTGATAGAATCTGTGTGAGGCTGTGGGTTCAGTCTCCAGCACCCCCCCTCCCCAAGAAAAATGTATGGGCATGGTAGACAGGGATCATTTAAAATAAGGCTGGTAGCTTCACTGAGACTGCAATACAATTCTGTCAAAGCACTTCACTTTCGCCTAAAAATTTGCGCCTTATATAATCCTTTTAGATGACAAGTTAAGTCTTTATATAAGGGTTCCTAGGAGGGAAATCCTGTATCTGCTCTTAATAACTTACCAAAATCTCCAGATTTATATAAGTTTAAAATAAGATAATGTGGTAAGATGAAATAAGATAATATATATAAACATACTTTATAAACTATAAAGATTTACATATTATGAACTATCATAATACTTTCATGGAGATGCCTATTTCCTATAACATTGTTTCCTTTTTTAAAATGTAGGAGTACCAAATAAATGGCTAATATTTACCAAATGTCTATTATGTGTCAATGAAAACCCTATTAGTAATCTAAATTAAGTATTTGATCTAAATACCTAAGTAGAACATTTGTCTATTTAAATGATCCTTATTTCTTTCTCTCTTTTTGAAAGTATGGACACTGATAGTTTTGGAGGTTTTGTCTCCTCACAGGTTCATGGGAGATTAGTCCCCTGGGTGGCAATATTGAGAGATGCTGTGAAAGCTTTAAAGGTAGTGCTTATTGAGAGGTTAGTAGGTTATTGGGGGTGCTACCCTCAGAAAGGATTGAGGTATTTCTCCTGGGACCCTGGTTGGTTTTTAAGAGAGGGTTTTTATAAAAGCCTGAGCAGGCCCTACCCAGTCTCTCTTTCTGGCTTTCTGTTTCAAGATGGGAGTTCTTCATCCTGCATACATTCTTGCCATCTGCCATGTGGCCTTTGCCAGAGCAAGGACTTTCAGCATCTCAAATTGTGAGCTAAATAAACCTCTTTTTTATGAAGTTAGCCCGTCTGAGGCATAGTAGACTATCCCCGAAGTCATACATGACTGCATTCTAATTGGAAAAAGACTCATGGGAGAAACGAGACACATTGTCTCTTCATATCCTTTCTCTTTCCCTCTCCAGAGGTAGCCAGCATTTGCAATGTGCCATTGTAGTTGCATTCTTCGTATTCATATGCGTATGTGCTTTAAAAAGTGAACATTGATGGAATTGTCCTACAACTCAGCCTTTCATTTGCCAGTGCGTCAGTGCGTGTAAGTGCCCTGCATTATTCTAGAATATTAACACATAATTTAAAAACACAAGACCTGTGGGCTGGGCACAGTCACATACTGCTATAGTCCAAGCTACTTGGCTAAGACAGGAGATTGTTAGAGCCAGCTTGGGTAAGACAGTGAGACTCTGTCTCAGAAAAGAAAAAGGAAAATGTAAGATCCTTAGTATTATCTTTAGTTCCTAGGATACTCAATAAACATAAATGAATTAATTATTTAACATACAGATTATTTCTGATTGTGGCTCTTAAAAAATACTGTTGAGGATATGCTCCCCTACGTCTCCCTTTGTAATAGGGGAGTCATTTTCTATGGTGGGTTTTGTATTTTGGAATACCTGGTTTAATTGTCTTCTAGTATCTGGTGTTGCCAGTAAGAGGTACCCAGTCTTATTCCAGTTCTTTACAGGCAACCTGTTTTTGTTTCTCAGAAAGGCTCTAGACTTTCTTGCCATCTTTGACGGTAGTAGGGTTTAAACTCAGTGCCTTGTGCTTACTATGCAGGCACTCTTATCACTTGAGCCACTCCACCAGCTCGCTTGTCATCTTTTTTGTTTGTTTTGTTTTTACGTTTACTCACATGTGTACACATTGTTTGGGCCGCCTCCCCTGCCCCTTGTCATCTTTGATGCTGAGAAGGTTTACCCAGTGTCTCTAGACAGATAGGAATTCCTTCTCACTTATCCTGATTACCACGTCTTTGAACCCTTTAAACTGCAAAGACATACCTTTCTTCATCTGTGAAGAAAATTTCTTTTTTTCATTATTTCTTCTCCACTAGTCTTTCTATTCTCTCTGCTGCTGGGACTGTTAGTGTTAAAACTGCTGGATAAGTTTTCTCACTTCTGTTTCTTGGGATTTGAGTCAGAAAAGAAAATAAATGATATGTGTTCTGTTTGCCATCTTGATCTACTTTCTTGACATAGTTCTTTTTATCCCTCAAGGCTGACTTTTAAAAAAATTTTAATGCTTTCTTTTTGTCTTAGCAATCTATTCCTAAAGAACATGACTCATATTTTATAATATTGATGGAGGCTTATTTGCCTAACATACTTTCATTTTATAGTCAGCTTTTTTTTAAGATGCTTTTTTTTTTAAGTCATGATGCCAATTTAAAAATTAGACTCTCTTGCTTTGTGCTATTGGTAGTGAGCCCAGGCACATTATCTTAATCGCTCATCAGGCAGGCATCTCCAAGTACTGATAAAGGCCTTGATGCTTCTCCAGATGTCTAAGTGTTCACTCCAGGTGCAGGATGCAGAATATTTGGAACTGGCACATAAGTTCTAAAGTATGAGTACATGTCAAAGTTTTAGGTCCTTGGTCTCCCAGAGCAATGGTTCTTAAACCTACTTTAGTATCAGAATCATCTGTGGCACTTCATAAAACTACAAATGCCTAGATCCTCCACTTGACCTGTTAACTCAGAAGCCTGAAGGGGCAAGGCTGGGCATATATATGTGTTGAAAGGCTCTAAAGGTTATTCTGATGTGCAGCAAACCATTTTTCTTATTCCCTGTATTTTCTTTTGTTACGTATTTTTCACTGTCCTTACCGTCTATGTGTACTTTCTCTTATTTATACCTTTCTTTTTTTTGAGACATTGTCTTGTACGTTGCCCAGGCTAGCCCCAAACTTCTGGGGTCAAGCAGTCCTCCTGTGCCAGCCTCCCAAATGGCTGGACTATAAGTATACATACCATACTTGCCTATGCCACATTAAAAAAAAATGTCTATGCAGTGTTCTTTGATACAGATGTATTATAATTTACTTAACTGGTCCCCTCTCAGTGTACACTTAATATTCTTATGGTTTTTTTGTTATTACAAATTACTATAGTAAATATTCTGTATATATAACTTTGTACACATTTTAAATATATTATGGAGTAAATTCCTACATTTGGAATTGTTCAAAGGGTGTGTGTGTGTGTATATATATATATATATTTGTGAATTTGAGAGATGTGGGTTTTTTTCTAATTTTTTATTATATTAAAATACACAGAATAAAATCCACATCATCTTAACTTTTTTTTCTCTTTTTATAATGGGACCAGGGTTTGAATTCAGGGCTTTCTGCTTGCAAAGCAGGTGCTCTGCTGCTTGACAGACCTCCAGTTCATTTTGCTCTGGTTATTTTTTTGGAGATGGGCTCTTGCATGAACTATTTGCCTGGGCTGTCCTCGAACTGTGATCTTCCCAATCTCAGTCTCCCAAGCAGCTAGGATTACAGACATGAGCCACCAGCACCCAGCTCATCTTAACCATTTTTAAGTGTACAGTTCAGTGGTATTAAATATATTCAGAATGTTGTGCAACCATCGTTACCAGCCATCTCCAGAACTCTTCATCTTGTAAAACTGAAACTCTGTATTCATTAAAAAACAATTCTCCCTTGTTATCTCCTCCCAGTCCCTGTCAACCAGCATTCCACTGTCTGTCTCTAGGATTTCAATCACCCTAAATAAGTACCTAATATAAATGGAATCATATGGCATTTATTTTTTTTGTGATTGGGTTATTTCATCTGGCATAATGTCTTCAAAGTCATCCATGTTGCAGCATGTAACAGTTTTCTTTTTAAAGCTGACTAATATGCCATTGTATGTGTGCACCAAGTTTTGCTTTCCTATTCATCCATCAGTGGACACTGGGGTTGCTTCTATGTCTTAACCTGTTATGAATAATGCTTTTGTGAACATGGCTGCAGTGTTCAGTACTTTTGGGTATATAACCAGAAGTAGAATTGCTAGATCACATGCTACTTTTATTTTTCTGTTGTTGTTTTGTTTTGTTTGTTTTGGGGAACCACCATACTGTTTTTCTACAGAGACCATACTATTTTACCTGTCCTTTATTAGGCACAAGGGTTCCAAGTTCTCTATATCCTCGCTAACATATATTTTCTGTTTTGTTTGATCGTTTTGGTGGTAGCCGTCCTAATGGGTATGAGGTGAAATTTCATTATAGGTGTTTTGTTTTGTTTTGTTTTTGAAACAGAGTATCACTTTATAGCCCAGGTTGGACTTGAACTTATGATCCCTTTGCTTCAGCCTCCTGAGTACTGGGCTATTAGGCTTACCACCATGCCTGGCTCATTGTAGTTTTGATTTGCATTTCCCTAATGACTGGTTACATTGAGCATCTTTTTTGTGTGTTTTGGAACATTTGTATGTCTTCTTTGGAGAAATGTATAGTTAAGTCTTTGGTTTTTCCTTGTTGAGTTTTAGGAATTCTCTACATATTCCAGCTGCTAATTCCTTTTAATACATATGACTTACAAATGTTTAAGTTTTTATTATGTGAAAGTATTCTTTTTAATCCTCACTATATTCAGCTGAAAATATTCCTAAATTTTGAAAGTCTTTACATTTTGTTTTCATTTCTTCTTAGGCCAGTACTAAAGTGGAAGTAGACATGGAGAAAGCTGAGAGCCTGCAGGTGACAAGAGGAGACTTCCTTGCTTCTTTGGAGAATGATATCAAACCAGTGAGTATGCATATTGAGTGAGGTATAAGCCAAAATAATCCCAGTTATTGTTATTTAGGAGAAAAGTAAGTGCCATTTTACATTGTAAAATATAAAACTGTGTATGGGTATATCATACATAGTTTTATAACATGAGAAAAATCTCAGTACTAAAAGTGTCCAGTATAGTGTACTGTACAATAACCATGATTACTGTGTGGTTAATTGATACTTACCTAAATATTTCTCATGATAGGGAGCTTGCCGTCTTATAAGGCAGTCCATTCAATTTTGAGACTCTCTAATTATTAGTTCTTAACTTTATATTAGCTAGAAATAGTTTTCTTATTTTTTAAAATATAATCTCAAACTATCGAAACCTAAATTCATTCCATCCTCCTTATGTCAGTTATCATGCTCTTAAAATTAACTCTCATGTCCTTCCCTTGCACTACCACCTTTACCCAACTTCCTCCAAGACATCCCTTTTTCTTGTGTCTAGCTCCTCTGGCTACTGTAGTTTCTAAACTCTTACCCATCTTAGATACCTTTTTTAAAAAGTGTTAGTTTTCACTAACACTTTAGTTTTATGAGCTGTGGCTTATACCTATAATCCCAGCTACTTGGGAGGTAGAGATAAGAGGATCTTGATTTGAGGCCAGCGTTAGGGGAGTAGGCAAGACCCTATCTCAGAACAATTGGGCATAGTAGCACGTCTGTAATCCCAGCTACTCAGGAGGTGTATGTAGGAGAATCAAGCTAGTTCCAAACAAAAAGTCTGACAGCTTATATGAAAAATAACTAAAGCGAAGAGAACTGAGAGCATGGCTTAAGTGGTAGAGTCCTTGCTTAGCAAGTGCAGGTCCCTGAGTTCACCCCAGTACCACAAAAAAAATTAAAAGTTAGGAATTATAAAATGAGGGATTTTTTGTTTTTGCGTGATATGAGATAGTGCTCAGTATTCTTACTGTGTAGGAATTATCACTCATCTTTTATACATTTCAGTATTTCATTTTATTTTTTCAAAAGATTTCTTTTTTCAAAAAGATTTATTTACTGAACCAGCCTACTAGTGCAGAGCATAGAAACAAAGAGAAAAGTCAGATTTCCAATAAAAATGTACAAATGTCCAGACAGTGGTGACGTTTTCAGCTTGTTACAGTAAGATGACCGTGCCCTCTGTTGCGCAGTTCCTTATCAACCCAGCCTGGTTCTTCTCCAGAGTCTCCTCTTCTGGGAGTTGTACCTGATTTTATTACGATTTTGATTTTGTTTGTTAGCCAGAAATTGCTTAATCCAGTAAGTCTTGTGGGAAGATATGGTGAGGAACAGAGTTCAGCACACACAGCACAATGACAGAGGAAAGGAGAAGCTAAATATTTTAGTTTTAATGCTAGTGCTCAAAATGCTTTAAACTGTCCTTTTCCTCAATAGGCATTTGGCACAAACCAAGAGGATTATGCAAGTTACATTATGAATGGAATCATCAAATGGGGTGACCCAGTTACCAGAGTTCTGGATGATGGGGAGCTGTTGGTCCAGCAGACTAAAAACAGTGACCGGACACCACTGGTTAGCGTCCTTCTGGAAGGTAAGAAAAATGATGAGATGACCTTAAAAGTTTTAGCACATTCCAGAGAAGTGAATGATTTTTAGCTCTAAACCTTGTTGATGATCCAAAAATAGTAACCCAGTTCATATACCAATATTGTGTAAAAATTAAAATTTTCTGGGAGAGGAATGTTACTGATGAATGATAGCAACTAGTTTTTTTGTGGGAATGCATCTAAATTTCTCTGGTACTTAATAGACTGAATGATACCACATAGCTTGACTCAATTAAATAAGTATTTACTGAGTACTTACTAAGTTTAGACATTGAACTAGTTGCTGGGGATACAAAGACAGTCAAGCAGTCAGTCTAGTCATAAAAAAAGCTTGTGAAGAGATTTCTCCCTGTAGGGTATATATGTAAAGGTGTGTGTGTGAGTGCAAGTCTTTTTACTCAGGGTAGTCAGAGAAAACTGGCAGTGTTGTTTAATCTAGGCCTTGAAGGATGAGTTAGGATTTTATTAGATAGGCAGAGGGGAAGAACATTCCTTCCACAAATAACTAACTTGAAGTTATGATTAGTATGCGTCAGAGAAGTTCATGGGGCAGGTGACAGGGGAGGCCCTTGAAGGTCGGCGTGAAGGCTCCCTGAGAGAAGCATGTGAGCCAAGACGTGGAAAATCCCTGAGAGCTGCAAACTGACTGGCTAGACAGGAGCTGAACAAGTGAACAGGAGCCAGTTCTGGAGAAGCCTCAATGTCTAATAAGACATTGGACTGGAGGCATGCCTGAGGCCCTGGGTTCCATTCCCAGAACCAGGAAAAGAAAGAAAAAAAAAAAAAGACTGTATCTTAGGGGTAAAGGGAAGCCATTTGTAGGGTTTTAAGCAGTGAAGTCACATGATCAGATTTATATTGTCAGAATATCATCATGATTACTTTTAAGGGAGAGTAGATTGGAGGGACAAAAATATGAAGGAGGGACTAATGGCTAAAAGTAGTTGCCTTGTCCTGATGAGATCTATTAAGGTTTGAAATAATGTAGTGGAGATGACGATAAGTAGATTAATCTGAGATTAACCTGAGAAATATTTAGAAAGTAGAATAAAAAGACTTGATAAAAATTATTAACTGTCAATCACAATTAGGCTAACATTCTTTGAGCCCTTCCTGTCTGCCACTCATCTGTTACCTCACGTCAGTCCTATGGGAATAGATGCTGTTGCTATCCCTGTCTTGTACATGGGGAAGCTAAATTTAGAAATACTGGTTAGATTACATATGTGCAAAGGTGCCAAACATGAGGTTTCTGGTAAATGGCCCTGTTTACCAGGGAACTCTAGCAGACAAGCTCATTTCTGGAAGGAAGGTCATGAGTTGAGTTTTGAATAGTAAGATTCTGGGTTACTGTAGGATCATTAAGTTAGAAATGTTGAATGGCCTATTGGATATATGGGTCTGTCACTCAGAAAAGCAGTCTGGCTGGCAATAGATTCATGACTTGTCAGTATGGAGACTGCCCGTTGGGGGTGGATAAGGTCATTTATGGAAAGGGTGTGGGTTGAGATGAAAAGAGGGCCTAGCACTTACCTCTGAAGCACGTTAACAATTTAGGACTAAACAGAACAAGGGAGTGGATAAAGGAGACTGAACAAGTGTAACCAGAAGAGTAAGAGTGGGGGGAAAGAATATGCTGTCACAGAAGCCAAGAAAGGTATTCGAGGAAAGGAGAGAGTAATAAATAATAAAATTGTGTCAAATGCTTCTAAGAAAAGAACCTGTTGTGGTAGTGACATGAGGTCTTAATGACCTTGACCTTGATGGGCACCTGATCGAATAGAGGGGTAGAAGCAATAGGGTTTGGTGAGGATGGGTAGAAGCAGCCAGTGGAAATAATTATTTAAGGAAGTTCTGTTTTGAAAAGAGAAGAAAGGTATGAGTTATGAGGGGTATGAAGTTTAGAAAGTGTGTTTTTTGAACTGTCAGACCAGACTGCATTTAAATGCTGTTGGAAAAGAAGAGTCTGAATGGTTGAAAGAGAGGAATTGTCACTTATGTCAGGTTCCTGAGAGAATGACTACAAGGAAGAATTGGTTGGTTTATGATTGTAAGGGGAATACATCTTTCAGTGCAAGGAAGAAAAGGGAAGGGTTGTAAATTTGGTTGCTTTTATGAGAAGGACTGCATCTTTACAATTCTAGCTTTTTATAACACATTTGCTTTTAATAAGGCAGTTTTCCACTGACCTCTCATATCATTAAGAAGACTGTATTTTTTGTTAAACAAATGATTTGATAAAATTAATAACACAAGTACTAATATACATGTGAATGCATTCTTTTTTTTTAAGAAGCAAAATCCTTGTACTTTATACACTTAGCCAGAAGTCTGAAAGATTAAGGCCATGTGAGAAAGCTTACATTTCACCATACTTTTAAGAAATGCTAATCAGTTCATTAAGTTTAGTTGCTAATAAATAAAAGGAAACATGTCTGCTGTGAAATTGTATCAGGAAATGTTAATGAGCAACTAGTTGAGACCTCAGTACATTGTGGATAAAAGTTTAAACTTGTTTGATTCCCCTTTGCTTAGGTTGGCTTTTTTTTCCCCTGACTTGTCATTATGCAGGTCCTCCTCACAGTGGGAAGACTGCTCTGGCTGCAAAGATTGCAGAGGAATCCAACTTCCCTTTCATCAAGATCTGCTCTCCTGATAAAATGATTGGCTTCTCTGAGACAGCCAAATGTCAGGCCATGAAGAAGGTATCAAGATTTTTACTTTCATTTTAATTTCATGTCTCTTAGATGCTTGTGTACATGTGCACATACGTGTAGGGATACATCTGCCTTTGTACATGTGTATACAAGACCTGTAGCAGCTCTGTTCTTCTCAAGTTGGAACAAGTTATCAGCAGAATTTGGGGCAAAACAGTGACTACTTTAGATTTTTTAACTTTGTAATACTTTTTTTTTTTTTGCAGTACTGTCGTTTGAACTCAGGGCCTATACCTTGAACCACTCCACCAACCCTTTTTTGTGATGGGTTTTTTCAAGATAGGGTCTCTCAAACTAATTGCACTGGCTGGCTTGAAACCAAGATCCTCCTGATCTTTGCCTCCTTAGTAGCTAGGATTACAGGCATGAACCACCAGCACTTGGCTGTAATGCATTTTTGTTGAGAGTCTCTTTACCTTCCAAATTAAGCTTTGTTTAGCACATATTAGGATCAGTTTTCATTTTTTAGACTTTATTTCCATGATTAAAAGAAGAGTCATAGTTAAGAGTGTTCAGGTAGAGTGGAGCAAATTCATTTAGGATTTAAGTTCTTTTATTAATGTACTGTTCAAGTTCAATCAAGTTGACGATACAGTTTGGGGAAAAAGTATACATCTTTGGACTAGTATTCCCAAGAATCCCTTCACAAGAATGATTACATATTAGATAAAAATCAGAATTCAGTGGTGACTTAGTGTAGTCCTCATCGTTCTTCCTTTCCCTGAGTGCCATTTGTCACCTTTTAAATATGACCACTGAACGAACCATCAGTGAACTTAGACCAGCATAGAATTAAGATCATCACATTCAAGTAAGTGCCAAAAAAGGCATTTAAAATAGCAGGTGGCTGCTCTTTAAAGAAAAAATTATTGAAGACTCTAAATTGCTATTCTTCTCACATGATAGCCAGTGTTGCTGTTGATAGATACTCTAATTTTGCATACCCACAGACAGTGACAAAATTATTTTTTATATCCAGCTTAAGTATTCTTTTACTTAAAATCTTCTCTTTTTTTCATGCTTGATCTTCTATATATATAAATTGACTGTTAAGTCAAAGAGATGTGGGAGAATCAGCATCACAAAAGAAAATCTCCAGAACTGAAGTGTCACCTAACAGAGATGTTCAGGGTGTCCTTTGACCTTCCTTGCTCCTAGGCACTTACTATGAAAATGTGGGAGAAATACTTCAGCTTTTCTTTAGGAAAGAGACTGACCAGGAAAAATACATTTAAAAAGGGGCAGATGCCCCAAAAATGTAAGTTTGTGAAGTTAACCTCTTGTTTTTGCAGGTGGCAGCAAATCATTTGTGTTAGATGCTTACAATGGATGGAGGAAGCAGAACTTGAGCCAGGAACTCTAAAGTGTCAGGATTAATACTTTAAGCATTTTTGAAATTAAACTTAGAATATTGTACTTTATTTCTGAGGTGAAATGAGTAGTACCTATCTTTCTAAGAGTTATCTGGATAGAATAACCAGAACTAGTTACTCCGCTAGAGTAGGTGTGGGTTGTTTTTCTGCTTATCGCAGTGCTGGGCAAGTGCTCTTACCACAGCCTCCTTCCCTTCCCCCCCCCCCCCCCCCCCCCGCCCTTTCTTTTTTCTGGTTTTTGTTTCCCTCTAAAGTAAACCCTTAAACCATTTCTGGTGGAAGTTTGAATAGCCTTTGGAATCTGTAGCCACTGAACTTCCTATTTAATTGAAAAGCTAATTCTCTTTGCATTTTCCTATTCCTAAGCTTGTTCAAAAGTAGTAGTCTTTCCCTGCCGTGCAACTAATATATGCTAATAAAAAATATTAATTAAAAAAAGCAGTAGACTTCTGTACAGATGGTAAATGACTCCAATGCTTTCTACCAGCTGCCAGCTTCTACCTCAGATGTTCTCTGAGATGTGGGTGGATGGTCCTTGTTTTTCTATAAAGTTCTTAAAAAGTACTTTAGGCTTCTACACATCAAAGCAGCTTTGCGAGTGTGAGATATTATCATTTTTATTATTTTAATCTCTTGCAAATTGACTTGAGGGAGAAGGTAATATATGCCGATTTTAGAGGCTTAAATGGTTAAATTAATGGCTTAATAACTTACGATTTAATCTTTAAATTGTTGAAGCCTTTCAAGGTAGAGTTTTAGATGAGTAGAAGGCTAAGGAATATAAAAACAAGCGTCTATACAAGCTTATTCAAAATCGTTTGAATTCATGATTCACTGTCTAGGATCATCCATGGACTCTTAAAAGTCATCAAAATTATTTCTACTTCAACAGTATAATAAGTTCACATTAGGCTTTTTAGTTTCCTTGGGTGTGGGATATTATGCTCTGTAACTAAAATTCAGAATTGAGAAAAGAGTGAAGCATAGATGTCTTAGAAATATTTTAGAAATCGTACAAAATCTTTCCCTGCAGATAGTTTTCACATTGTTACCTAATGATAGGTTGACAAAAGCCTTAGGGCTCAAACCAGTCTAAAGATGCTAAGTCTTCCTGGTTGTTTTTAAAAATGAAATATAAATGCCATTCTTTACTTGTTCTAGTCTACTTCCCAATCCTGTTCTCATCCCATCACTTTCAGTGTGAGCATAGGAAGATGTCTTAACTTTTTTCAGAGCACCAATAATTTATATGTTTTATCATTCTCAAGAAAACAGGGCCAAGGGCATTGCTCAAATGGTAGAGCACCTGCCTAGCAAGCACTAGGTCCCTGAATTCAAAACTCCAGGACCACCAAAAAGAGAAAACATTTCTTCTAAATACTCCTCATTGCAGTTTTTTTCTAATTATAAAAATAACTTAGAAAACACAGAACATAGAAGAAAATAAAAATAAATCTGTCTTTGTACTTATCCTTCAGTTCTCTCTTATATACACACACATACACTATATGTAGGAGATAACGTTGGAAATACTGTTTTAAGCCTGCTTTTTTTTTTTTAAACTTATGGTATCATGAACTTTAAAAAATATCACAGACATATCTCACTATGATGTAGTGGCTGCATGATATCCATTTAAACAATCCCTTTTTGTTGGACTTTAGATTGTTTCCAAGTTGTTTTTTCACAATTTTAAATAATATTCTATAAAATTATCAAACTAGGAAAATCACTGTCCCACATTTTCTTACCAAATTTTTCTTAGATTAACATCATGTGACTGAGAATTTGGGCTTAGGATTCAAATAGATCTGAATATGAAGGCTGGCAGAGTGGCTCAAAAGATAAGAGTACCTGCCTAGTAAGTGTGAGTCCCTGAGTTCAAACCCCAGTGCCACCAAAAGAAAAAAAAACACAAAGGTTGAATTTGAATCCCAGCTCCACCACACTTAACTGGCTATATAACCTTAGATTAGTCACTTAACCTGTAAGCCTCCATTTTTCTTATCTGTAAAATGAAGGCAATATTCAGAGCTGTGTGTGGTAGTGCACACTTGTACTCCTAGCTCTCAGGAGGCTGAGGCAGGAGGATCACAAGTTCAAAACCAGCAAGACCCTATCTCAAGAAAATAAACAAAATGAAAGTAATATTCATAGCTGCCTCATAAGGTTATTATGAGAGTTAGATGATGTTTTGTGTAAAGTACCATGGAATTCCTGGGACATAATATGTGCTCAATAAAACCTAGTGGCTGTTTTTACTTACTATTATTGTTTGTGTATTTCTAGTTATTTCTTTAGTGATTGCTGAGGTAAAATATTAATATTTTCAAGATTTTATGCACATTGCTATTAGAACTTTTATGTAAAGCTGCTAATGATTTTATAAAGCCCCACTCATTCAGAAAGTTGTGCTGATTTATAGTTGCAGCTGTATTGTTTGAGAGTATGAATTTCTTGGGATTCTCACCCCAACTTGATGTTATTAAAATCTTTTTGCCAATTTATTAGGCAGAAGGTTGGTATTTAATTATTTCTTTAGCTACGTTTTAGTGACTAAGCGTTTAGTTTTAAAGATAGTTTTCAATGGGCTTGGGCTGGAGCTCAGTGGTATAGCACTTGGTTAGCATGCACAAAGCACTGGGTTCATTCCTCAGCACTGAAAAACAATTCCTTTTCTCAAAATCTTTTACAATGACAATAGTTTGTGAAACCCTACATTAATTTTTGTTAAAGAAGGGTGGTCTGATTATTTAATTCATAAGTATCTTTGTATATACCATTTTTACTTAAGATAAGAATTTTCAGAACAGGCTGTTGGGCTTGCTTTAATGAGTATGTGAGACTTCATTGTAATTACATTATTGCTTCTTTTTTCACAAATAGATGGTTCTAAAGTACATGAAAGTAGTTTATTCTCAATTAGTGTAAAACTAACCTTATTCTCCTTAATTTACTTAATAAATCCTTTGTTCATCGATAAACTCCTCAACACTGCCCAAATATGTATAAGGAGTTATTACCATTGAGTCATGGGGCAGAGGGTGCCATATGTTCCATTATGGTAGTTGAGGTACTCACAGATAAGATAGTCCTCTTTTTCCATTTTGTGTTTGCTTCCAGAACTTCATTCTATTTTTAAGTTTCAATTTCCTTTGTCCAATTTTGCATCTAAACTTTTAAAAAATCTATTTTACTGATTTTAATAGTGACATTAAATGAACAAAAGAACAAAACAATAGGATTTGATTTTAACTAATTACCTATTCTTGGTGCTTTCTAAGTACATGCTCAATACAGAGATGACAGAACAATCTGATAAAACTAAATGGTTTGAACAAAATTAAGTAAAAATACCAGTGATTTATAAATGTCGCCCATTAATAACAAAGGATTGAAAATTAATGGAAGAAATACTCCTTTCCTCTAGCTTTGCAAGAAAGAAATAATCTTTTGTGAATATCCTCCTATAAATCCCACTGCAAATTGTAGTCTGCACAGAACAGAATCATGGTGCCTAATCCTCCTCTTTTCATGGTTCAGTCTATACAAAGAACAGAGCTGGAAATTGGATCTTTTGACAGCAGTTACTAAGCAACAGAATTTGGATGTTTT